TAATTGTGATTAAAGCAAATTAGGACGTCGTTTTTGAGCCACAGAGCCGCAAAGCTGGTGGAGGGAGGAGGTCAGGGTGGGTGGATGGGTCAACAAAACAAGGAAAATGAATATTTTTTTCCCATTTCTAGCCAACATAGGAGGCTTTCTACTGCAGGAACCAGGGGAGGCATCGGGTAGCGTGAACATTTACAGGAATGAACCATAATCGCCCCTCTTAGGCGTTTTATTTCTATTGCAACAGCTTCAACTGCAACATAAACTCAAAGTGCACCAACGTAGCTGATGCTGGAAGTACTTCCAGTTATATGAGAGCACAGGAAGTAGAACAATAGCAGGTTTGTTATATTTGACTACTGTTCAAATCTAATGGTTTCCCTCTTTAAGAATTTAACTCCATTAAGAATGAACCAGTGTGACCCAGCTGTCAGATAGTTTACATGCACAGCTATATGACCCTGTGCTGCTGAGACGTTGTTAGTGTTCTGTGATTGTGAATGTAATTGGTGTTACATGGCCCCCTGCTGGACAACAGACAGCTTTACATGATTGGCTGAAGCTAAACGTTTGCTTTCTGGACTTCAGGCTTCATCGATATTTGGTCATACGTACTGTGTGTCTAGAGAACTTGTTCACCTGGAAAAAGGGCCACGTTGGGATAAAATGAACTTTTTAGTTGCAGTCCTCGTTACCACACTTAACATTTAATTTAGTAGGATGTGCTGGATTTATTTTAACTGAAGATAAAAAGATCAAATGAGGCTGTGATTTCTGTAGCTGCCAGCTGTTTGTTTTTCAGCTGTGAATCATTGTTTTTTTACTGGGTGGTGATATTTATTAAGATTTATCAGTCTCGTATTCACGTACGGGACACTTTTGAAGAATCTTGGTAAAGTTGTGATCCGCGCTACAGAAGGAAGGGTCTGAGCATTTGTCATAAGGCCAAACATGTGCTGATGTGATTGTTCCAGAGTGTTACATAACGGTGTGCTCGCTGACCCTCCGCTGTGCAGCCATTGTTCTCCTTAACCTCTGATCCCCAGGCGGAGTTTTCTTCTGCCAGGAGAGCTTCGCCCTGCAGCACACCTCCGCCATCTTCGAGTGGGTCTACTGCATGCTCATCATGTTCTTCTACGGGACGTTTGCCTTCGAGTTCGGGGGGATGTCGGGGGACACCCTGATGGTCCTGTCCAGAGGAGGGGGGCTGCAGAGCTTCTCCACCGCCAACCACAAGGCGGAGGTCGGCGGAGGACCCGGCCATCACCAGACAGAGGGTTTGTCGATCCTGTAACTGAGCTGGAGGTCAAAAGGTCAACACGTAGACCGATCTAGAAGACCCCGAAGTGGAGTCTGGAGCCTGGAAGCTGCATCCTGCATATCGCCACGCTCACTATTGCACAAAGCTGTTTTCCTGAGCAGTGACCAAAAACTGACAGACTTGTATCCTGCTTTGTAAAAGTAGATGCTGCAAAACGTTGCACAGTATCATTTGCCAAGTGCCTTTTTCTCAACACGGCCCTCCGTGTTTGTTTTATTTCTGCTAACGTAACAATCGCTCTCTGAATTCTTGGCTGGAGGTGCCTTTTTGTCCGAGCGAACGTCCTGAAAGTGCCTCAGATGTGCCGCGGCGTCAGCGCTGGAGTTTCTTCTCATGTTGAGACGCTCAGACATCTCGCCTTGTGTTGTTTCTACTCAGGAAGTTTCGTTACATCACCAGCTTTCGCCCTTTACCTCCGTAGTAAAGGAGAAGCTTTCCGAAAACTTTTGACAATAGATGGACGTCACTGTGTGCCAAGAATAATTTGTTTCCTCTCAAGTGCCTGAATTGTTTGTCAGAACGTGCGTTTGTGGCTGAAATTTTGGCAGCAATGTGAGTGTTTTTCTAAGTTTATCCCGTGATTCAACTTTTGATATCTGTTGCGTCTCGTATGGGGATATTTCCAGATAGCTGACCTTAACAGTGCCTAGAAGAAGTATTTGCCCCCCTTGGAAGTCTTCCTCTTTTATTACTTTTCAAGACTGAATCATTGTCACTTTAATTTGGCTTTTTTGACAAGAACTGAACTCTGAGGTCAAAGTGAAAACAGATTTTTACAAACTATTGTCAACTGATTGAAAGTTTAAAATCTAAAAAGTAAAAAAGTCAGTATTTAATAGATGTGCTTTTGGCTGCACAGAAACATCCCCACATCATGATGCTGCCACTGCCGTGCTTCATGGTGGGGATGGGGTGTTTGTGATGATGCCAGATGTAGCATCTATTCTAAAACCTCAGTTTTGCTCTCATCAGACCAAAGAACGTTCGTCCAGTTGACTTTGGAGTCTCCCACATGTCTTCTGGAGTTATTGTGAACTTTTGAACAGTGTCTTTGTCTTTGCCGCTCTCCCATAAAGCTTTGACTGATGAAGAACAAGAAACAGGTGCTGTATGAACATCATCTCCCATCTCAGCTGCTGAAGCTTGTAACTACTTCAGAGGAGTCTTCGGTGGCCTCCCTAAGTAGTCTGTTATTTGCACGGTCACTTAGTTTTGGAGGACGACATGCTCCAGACAGATTTACACATGAGCCACATTCCTTCTATTCCTTTATCCATCCATCCATTATCTATACACCGCTTAATCCTCACTAGGGTCATGGGGGCTGGAGTCTATCCCAGCCAACTTAGGGCGAAGGCAGGAGACACCCTGGACAGGTCACCAGTCTATCACAGGGCTACACTTAGAGACAGACAACCAAGCACACTCACATTCACACCTACAGACAATTTAGAATCACCAATTAACCTCAACATGTTTCTGGACTGTGTGGGAGGAAGAACCCGGAGAGAACCCACGCTGCACGGGGAGAACATACAAACTCCTCTATTCCTTCATGATGGATTTAACTGTACTCAAAGAGAGAGTCACTGACTTTTGTCTTGCATACATCCACTGACCTCTTCATAACCTTTTCACAGAGGACTACAATAACTTGAGGTTTTTCTAAACGTGTGACTTTCAGCACCAACTTACTGCACCTGTGTTGAATTAGTTGCTTTAAAGAGGATGAATACTTACTCAGTCACTAGTTTCACCTTTGATATTTCTAATTAATTGATATTAATTTGTAGAAATCAGTTTTCACTTTGACATAAAGGAGTGTTTTTCTTTAAATTCACATCAAAGAAGCCGACTCATACCGACCGTGTTGAAAAGCAGTAAAAAGGGTAAGACTTCCAAGAGGGGGTTGAATATTTTTTTTATAGTATTTCCCAAATGAGCTCTGTTCTGTTGTATATTTTGTTTTGTCCTATCAGCTCTTTGCCAAACAAGTTGTATTGTACTTCTTATAGCATTAATGGGACCAAACTATAAAAGAGCTTGTTATCATGCTGTTTTTGATCATATATGGAGATAATTTTCTACAGAAATAAAATAAAAATTTTGTAATGTGTGCAGACAACAAATGAATATAAAAACCGTGATGTCCTTATTTCATACTTTTCAGTCAGTTATGTAGCGGTGATGAGATGACACGGTGTAGATGCTGGTGGAGGTAAAGTGTCCACACCTCTCAGAGGAATTTACACTGTTTTAAAATGAAATAATAGAACTTTTATCTCAAATATGGATGTTGGTGCAGAGTACAGAGACATGTAATGTGAATACAACACTGATTTCTTACTGACTGTTACAGCTGTACCTCTGGAGTTTCCTTGTGTTGTCCCAGTACCCCTCGGCTTTTCTCTTTTCTGTATTTTGAGCGACCTCCTTCCTTCTGCCTGTGACCTGTGGATTAATCTCAACAGGTCATCTTGAAGAACATCTCAATTCTGCAAATGCATCTCGAGAAGAGAGGAGGCTCGTCGGAGGGACTATATGCAAGTATGTACAGGTATGTACATGTGCAGCAGGAAACTACAAACGTAAGTGTTTCTTTTCTGGGCTCTCCATGCGTCTTTTCAGTTATTTAAGATGATCAAATGCACGATTAAACTTCCTCATTTTTAAATTTCATGGAAACTGAACCAAAAATCAAACATTGGAGAAAAATTTAAAAACTGAAATTTGTGGATCAGAACTTTGTTGCCCTTCCATTTATATTTACATCCATTTATCTGCTGTTTCTGTCGATAAAACGGGACATAAAGTAGCTCCAGCAGCGACAACACTAACATGTTGATGCTTTACAACTACATGTGCATCAGTCAGAGGGGACAAAACCAATACTTTAATATATGAACTATATTTTATTACCTTTACTTCAAGATCCCATATGATAAAAGTCTATTTATATTGTGTTTTGTGGCTGTAAAAGTTTGGAGAAAAAAAAGCAGTAGAGACATGAAGAAGCTTTATAAGCCAGTATGACATCGACAGAGGTGCTACGTAACACAACATTAACAAACAGCTGTGCAGCTCAGTCATCCTGCCTGAGATCACGAACAGAACAATCTTAAAATTGAAAAAAAGAAAATTATTACACATTTAATTTTTGACACTTCAAAGCTTTAGATCAGGGGTGTCCAATCCTGGTCCTCGAGGGCCTCAATCCTGCATGTTTTAGATGTTTCCCTCTTCCAACACACCTGATTCACATGATCAGGATCGTTATCAGGCTTCTGCAGAGCTTGATGATGAGCTGATCATTTGAATCATGTGTGTTGGAAGAGGAAACATCTAAAACATGCAGGATTGCGGCCCTCGAGGACCAGGATTGGACACCCCTGCTTTAGATGATCCAACTAAAGCTTTCCGACAACTAGCAGCCGGCTGTCATTCATACAAAAATCCAAAACAGAATAACTAAATCTTAAGATGCAGGCAGCAAAGATTTAAAACAAAACAAATAAACAAAACATTACAGACCTTATTGGGACACGCTTATCTTATGTTTATCTGCTCTTGACTGACGGTCTAACTTCAAAATGTCATCACAGCAAATCACTTAAGACAACATAAAGTTTATGGCCTGTGGGGGAAGGTTACAGCGAAACAGTTCTGTTGAAAAACAAAACGGTAAAGAATCGTCTTAATACGCTCTGGCAGCTCTCTGACAGACAAATATGAAATATAAAAGTTATGATGCGTGCACAAGGTTTCTCTGTTTTATAAAATACGAGCCTCTAGCTTTTGAAACTTCTTTGGCAAATCTTAACCTCCTGATGTCGCATCTCATGTTATGGCTGTTTTGTGGTTTTTGTTACTTTTAACGCTTGTCTTAAACGTGGACATTTCATTTAATGCTGCAAAAGCAAAACAGTAGGACTAAAAAAACATAAAGAACTCTACTGTAGGTAATAATGTTGGCATCATTATTGATCCACTGTAACACGAACAGCTGCAGAAACTTTACAAGCTCTTCAAAGCTACAGTGTCATTGTCGGGAAGATGGTTTTCTCTGATTTACAATGTTTGAGCCTCTAACTTTTGAATGTTTTTGGCAAATATTTATCACATTTTGAGAACACGTCTTATGTTTGATTTGCAGACAAAGTTTTTACAGGTCTTGAAGAAATGACTACTTATCTAAAACAGCTTTTTTTCAGATCTTGTGCTGTAAAACATAACCACAAAACACCATTTTAACAACTGTAAGTCATAACTTTAGCATCGTTAAAGGCTGCCGATCATCCAGCGTTACAGAAACTGGCACCGAACAAACCTAGAACAAAAATGTCAGTCCTTTTAACGACATCGCAGCGTCTTTAAACACATATGCACGACTTTCGTCTTGTCAAATTTGGTCTTTTGCTTACTTTTTAACAGTTAAATCAACAAAACAGTGAAACAAATTACCTGCAGGTGACTGTAAACTGTGTTATAAATCGATAAATCACAGATAAAAGCCCCTCTAACCCAAATCTACCTCAGACCAGCCCAGTAAAATCACATCTCCACCTCCCTCTGGTCCCTGTACCTCCTTTTCTTTCACTAGATTGCAGCTACTGTATCTATAAATCCCTGACTCACTAGAAGTTGAGGTTCTTTGGGATCTCCCAGGGAAACTCCTTCCTCCCAAAGTGTCCATAGCAGGCTGTTTTCTGGTAGATCGGCCTCTTCAGGTCCAGGTCTCTGCAGCACAGATAAAGATGAATTAAGGACAGGCTAACATTGTCACAATGAAGTGTAGTTTTACTGCACAGCAGAAGAACGAAGCAGATGCGTCGGTGTGATCCTGACCTGACGATGACTCCCGGTCTGAGGTCAAAGTTTTTATTAACGATCTGCAGCAGCTCCTTCTCGCTCTTCTGAGAGGAGCCGAAGGTGAACAGGGAGATGGACAGAGGATGAGCGACTCCGATCGCGTACGACACCTGAAAACACAGAAAAGAGACAAACAGGAAACTAGTGAGGATTCATGAGAGAGAAAACTTTGTCTCTGCTGTATGGGCAATCTGCATCTTAGGCTTCGGTCAGGATTTGTGGATGAAACATGAGACATGAGAAAATGGTTGAACATGTTATTCCAAAGCCAATAATTACAGTGCTGCTATATCAGCCTTATCGGAGGGTTTTCCAGCTCCAGGTCCAGCTCTGATGCTGCATGATAAGAGGCTCATCTAATTTCTGTTAATTAAACCTCCTTATTTCCTCCGTCTTCCTGCCTGTGACCTGGAAATCCATCTCAGTGCACCATCTTGAAAGATTCTTTAGTTTCTACAATGCACCTCAAGGAGAGTGGAGGTTGTTAGAGGAGTTATGAATAAGGATGGACAGATGCAACCTTGTTGTATCTTTAGCGCTTGTGATCTATTAAAGAGCCGTGACACACAACTAGAACATACAAAACCATGTGGCAGGTCTCTACAAATGTGTGCATTTAACATATATCACTTTTTATTTGCATAGTCCTCTTATTATTTCGTACTAAACAGCATCTATATGTTAAATACTTTATGCACTTTATTTGTTAATGTTAACGTTGACAACACTGGTTTCATAAAATCCAGAAAATATTAAAATCAGAACACGTTTTCAGATTATCAGGAGCTTTTTCTGTTTCTTAGTGGCCTAAAATGAAACGGACGATTGTGCATTTTTATTGTAGTCTTGCAGATTGTGCATGTGGGAGGAAAACAGAGCTGTTGTTTAAAATATCTCTGAATCCTGCAGCATTAAGATTTCTTCATGAAAAACCTTCAAAACCAAACCTTAGGTAAATACTACATTTATTTCAGCAAAGTAGTTGAAACAGATTCAATCAAACTGTTGAGTTAAATCAACATTATAATTCCTATGATTGTGAATCCGTCTCTGTGATGCTATGAGATCAGATTCTTTGTCATGAAAGTACAAAATACTACTTTGACAACACAGCAAATACAATTAAAAAGACTTTCTAAGCCAGATTAAAACCAGACGGTCTGCACGTCCTGCTTCGTGATTCTTCATCCTCCACAGCATGTTTTGCATGTTTTGGAGGGATTAGTGGTAAAAAAGTTCTCACCTGCACCAGAACCCTCCTGCACAGTTTGGCCTTCACCAGAGACTTGGCCACCCAGCGGGCAGCGTAGGCGGCCGATCGGTCCACCTTGGTCGAGTCCTTCCCAGAGAAAGCTCCTCCGCCGTGAGCTCCCCAACCTCCATACGTGTCCACGATGATCTTTCTACCCGTAACTCCTGCATCACCCTGATGAAGAACACTTACAGTCACATCAACACCGACATCATACAGGATCTTACATATCTTATATTATTGCTTTACTTGTTCTCAAGTTTTTGCTCAAAAAATTTGATCTGGGATGAGATTAATAAAGATGATGTGCAGCTGCTAGTAAGATAATGTATTCATTTCCATCTTTGAGTCTCTGAAACTCAAAATAATGACATGAATGTACTGATTCACAGCTGCGATTAATAATTATTGTCCAAAAAATGCGAAACAATCTAGAGATATTCAGTTTTCCGTTGTTTTAAACCGGTTAAATTGTTTTTTAAAAACCCCCAAGGCATTTTTTTGGATTTTTGTTTAATAAAGAAAAATCTCGGAGACCCTAGATGACAAATATTTGGATTTTTTTTGGTTGCTAAAATGATCTAAACAAATAATCAGTTGCCATTTTCTCAACTAATTATTTATTTGACTGTTTGATTAAGGCTCTGAATTCCAAACAGGATTTTTTTGCTCCTGTGACATTTTTACTGACTGTAGGCTCATTTTTTTTACTGCAATATAAAGTCCTGCACCTCTATGGAAACAGCACAGCCATGATTAGAAGTAGATAAAACTTTTAAATCAACATATATCAAATATTAGCAACATGTACAATACTTTACCAAGTGCCAATGGGTAAAAAAAATTGCGAAAAAGTAAAAGTTTGTACATACTCCAGATACTTTGCTACCTAGATTTTTATAATTTTTCCCCAGATCTGCACAACAACTCACAAGAAAAATGTTTCACCACACTAAATATATGTTCTGACAACTTGCTCCTACTGTTTTTGTGCCGCGCTGCTTTTATTTTATTGATCCAATATGTTTTATTTTCCTTTCAGTCATTGCGTCTCATTTGCAATGAGAAGCACAGTTTTTCATTTTTACTCTCTGTGAGGTGCTCACCTGAGGTCCGCCAATCACAAAGCGCCCGCTGGGCTGCAGGTGATAGACGGTGTTCTCGTCCAGGTACTTTGAAGGCACCACGGCCTTGATGACCTTCTCCTTCAGGACCTTCCTCTGCTCCTCCAGACTCACATAGTCGTCGTGCTGCACTGAGATCACCACAGTGTGGATTCTCTTGGGGACCACGGCGCCGTTTTCCTGGATGTAATGAACCGTCACCTGGAGAAAGGTGGAGACAATTTGTATATTTACTCCAGATCTCACATTAGGTCTGAATTAATTAAATGAACACGTCATCTGTGTCCATTTTGTACGGTGGCTGACAAGGGCTACTGTAGTTCTGGCTTAAACAGACCTCTCGTGTTACAAACCAGTGTTCTCTGGTTGGTGTCTGCTGGTTGGCATGTCCAAGATACTCCAACTCAGAAACAAGCTCCAACAAAAGTCCAAAACTGCCCTAAACCCATCTCCTAACAGAGTCCAGAAAAAGTCTGAGATGTCCCCAAAAACAAGCTTAAAAACAAAGTCAGAAATCTGGTCCAAAACCGGTGTTTTGAGTTCACAGTTATGGAGTCAATTTGTATCCCATGAAAAGACAAAAAGACGTAGAGACAGAGTGAATCCAAGTTCTCCAAGAAGCTCCGAAACCAGTCTAAAGTCATGTCATAACCAAGTCCAGAACAAGTCCAAGAACTCCCCTAAAATAGTTCAAAATCAATCCAAAACCTGGTCCAGAACTAGAGTCCTAATCTCACCGTCATGGATTCAGAGTGAAACTGTATAAAGAGACACTGAGATGGACTGAATCCACACAAGAAGGGTCTCAGGTTCTCCAAGATGCTCCGAAACCAAGTCAGAGTCTAAAATCTAACAACAATCCCAAACTAGTTTAATGCCAAGTTCTAACTAAGTTTAAAACCAGTTAAAATTGGTCCAAAACCAGAGTCCTGATCCTACCATCATGGAGTCAGTCTGGGATTACATGAAGAGACAGACTGATTCCACTGAAGAAGTGGACCAAGTTCTCCAAGATGCTCCACAACCAAATGAGAAACATCATCTAGCAACCAGTCTAAGGTCAGATCATAACCAAGAGCAAGAGCAGATTCAGAATCTCCCTAAAACCAGTTAAAATCAGTCCAAAACAGAGTCAGAAACCTGGTCCAGAACCAGAGTCCTGATCTTACAATCACGGAGTCAGAGTGGACTTATGTAAAGAGACAAACGACACTGAGATGGACTGGATCCCCAGAAGAAGGGCACCAAGTTCTCCAAGATGCTCCAAAACCAAGTCAGAAACAAAATCTAACAACAGTCCAAAGCCACTTTTGCCACGTGATGACCAAGTCCTCAACAAGTCCAAGACCTCCCCAAAGAACAGTTTAAGATCGGTCAAAAATAAAACCAGAAACCAGTGTTACCATCAGTTTGGAATCAAATGAGAAGACAGACTTAATCCACAACTTCTCCAAGATGTTGAGCAACCTACCTGACAAGAAGTACCGAGAAAATCTGCATTGTTGTTGTTGTCTGAACCTACCTGTGTCTTGGAGTCCGGCCGGAACCAGGGCACTGTCCCGTTCCGTCTCAGCTCGGCCATCTTTGCGTTGAGTTTGTGTGCGAGGACGATGGTGAGGGGCATGCACTCCTCAGTCTCATCTGTGGCGTATCCAAACATCAGACCCTGCAACACAACCAGAGGACAGGTGAGGCCTTCTCAGACAGTTGATTCTCTGGTTTCTGTCTCTTCAAGGTTTCTTTGGGTAAAAATGTGATTTTAAAATCACAAGATATCCAGGGTTTAGATTAAGGAGCCCTGATGACCTGGTCTCCAGCTCCAATGTCGCTCTCTGGACGGTCCACATGAACTGCCTGCGCGATTTCCGGCGACTGCTGCTCCAGAGCCACCAAGATGTTGCAGGTCTTATAGTCAAAACCTGGACAGACGAAGTGATTTTCTACCTGAAGACGCTGGATCAAAGCTGCAGACTCACACTGACAGCATTGTAAAGCTGCACTCACCCTTCTCTGAGTCATCGTAGCCAATGTGCTGGATGATGTCTCTCACCACCTTCTGATAATCCACGATGGCTCGAGATGTGATTTCTCCACAGAGCAGCACCATCCCGGTCTTACACACCGTCTCTGAAGTGAATTTAAAATGACTACAAGGTCAGACTGAAGGTATTTTTGTTTTTGTGGTCAATCAGAAGAATCATTGTTTATCTTGTGGAGCATCCCATCGATTTTTCATTCTTGTTTTTCATGCAGCAGCGTTTTTTATTCCACACAACTGGCGCCTACATTACCCACAGTGCAACTCAACCAGAAAAAACTATAATTGGAGACTCAGGTGTGTGATATTTGCAGCATCGAGCTTCTGAGGAGCAGCTGCAGAAGTCAGTGATGTAAGCATAGGAGTAGGTTCCATTAAAATAGAAAAACTGGGGGGTCTGGCATGTTATTGCCTGGATTCTGCTGAGTTTTTATACAACATTTATAATATTTCTGCATCAATTTATGGTGAAAATGTCTTTTTGATGAAGAAGAAAACTAAAAATTCAGACACCAGGTGACAGTTCAAGATATAATAGGATATATATGGATCTAATTAGTCGATTCAGTGTGCGTATGAGCGCATAATTCATATTTTAAGAGTAAAAAAAAGAACTCATCTGAGGCTTTGTCGTAGCTATTGTTAATGTTATAGTGTTTTTTCAAGATTATTTTATGTCACATCTTTCTAACTTTATACCAACAGATGCTTTTTTTTCAGCTTGTAGTCTTTAAATTTAGAAAATGTACCAGCTATTGCTTTCATATGCAATAGAACTCCAAAACACCTGTAATGTCGTGTCTAAAATAGGTGTAATTCTCCTTTAACAACGCCTACAACCCAGACTGGATGCAAAAAAAAAAAGTGTTTGCAAATAATTAGAGAACCAGATCTCACTGTGCGTATCGGCTGAATTCATACGCAGCACAATTATCTTGGATTTTTGTTTTCATCAAATGAAGTTCACACATCATTTAATGAAAACGAGAGGAAACACTTCAGTCTGATCTGTGTGTTGCTTCCCTCTGCTGGAGGAAAACAAACTGTCCAGACTCACCACAGGCCACTTTAGCATCGGGGTCTTGTCTCAGGTGAGCGTCCAGAACAGCGTCACTGATCTGGTCGCAGATCTTATCTGGAAGTCAGGAAAGTGTTTGAATGCATCAGTGTTTGCGAG